TTGGTGCGTACCATCAGTCCCCACCAAGCCAGCGAGTTCGGCCTCTACTGGCTTGGCGGTATCTGTAATGCTTCCCCCATCTATCAGAGGCGTTAGAGACTACTGTTGGGCGGGAAACGTCCTTGAATTTGGCTCAATGATCCCCTTTGGAGATATGAGGTTCTTTTACGTGCCGTAAAGCTACGACACGGAACCCACGGCTTAAAGTCCCTCCCGGAGGACTTATTCCCTGAAATTTTCCGCCCTTAAAAATTCCACGACCTCCGCCGGGTTTGAACCCCGCGTACCACGAGTCATGAGGTGGGATTATTTTCTATGTAAACCGAGTGGATCCACCGGTGTGTTACTTAACCAATGGTTGCAAACCAACACATTATAGTAAAAAAGGAAAAAAAAAAGTAAAGCTATCCCTGTAACAGGCCGTGAAGGTCCATAGGGTTGTGAGACGTTGAGGGTCCCCCATTATCTAGACAATCGACTCAAAGATGGCGGTAAAGTTGTCAGCCTTACGCGCCGGCCGCGCTTTATTCCCCAGGAAAATTATTTAATTACTTCCTGGTACTCATTTCTGATAGAGGCTGAGTGAACCCCAGGGCCTAGTGCGACCGGAAGGATTAGGTCAGTAGTATGTAATATAGTATATAACACTATTGGATCCACTGTTTACATGGGAAATTTTTAACCTAAGTGCTTGATGGAATAATTGTAACTAAAAACCGAACCTGAAGATGTCACACATGTGTCGAAACGTGTCCTAGACAGGAACCTCCTCTGCTGGAAACATTCTTGTGCTCATAGGAATATAATACTATTATCAGTATTTGTTTACACAACAGGATGTGCATTTATGTTATTGGTACACATGGTGCATTGATGACTGATTTTATCGAAAAAAAAATGGGTGATGGTAGCGTTTGAATTGGTTCAGTAGTACATGTTTTTAATGTTCAGCCGACACATTTTGTACACTAATTTTAAACGAACAGTACTCACTTTACTTTGAATCGGAACGTACCTGACCATGGTTGCTATAGAAGCAATGTTTTCGTAGGCACGCCTTTTAACGATTTTCTTGTCCGTTGTCCAGTGGTCCTCGTGGTGCGCTGCTTGTCTGTTGACATGCATTATGAAGAGAACTGTTTTCCATGCCTGCAAATGTACCAAGGCGTTTTACATGACGAAACACAGAAATACCTTCCATGCTAATCTGTCGCCTGGCAACGTAATAAACAAAATAAAATGATGGCTCTGTTCCTTGGGCGTGTAAATATATTAAAGGGTGGTTATATCGAGAATCAGTATTGAGTTTCCTTCATGTTCTTCGTTGTGTGTACTTGCCTGCCCGGTGTAGAATAATAATATTGTGGCGTAAAGGCCCGTTTGTAACCGGTGACTCTGTAAACAGTGGCTGTTGCTAGGTAACATTCGTAACATGGACGCAACAATAGAACAAGTGGGTTATGTAACCCGTTTCTAAGCAACGGCTCGGTAAACACTTTCCCACGGAAACGAACACGCGCGCAAAGTAGAAGAACGGTGTTTTCTGTTAGGTCCACCCCGAGGATATATAGCGAGGACCCCAGGCCGGCTGAGGGCAGTTCAGTTAAGTGAAGTTAAGTAGTTGGTTGGTGAGTGAAAGAGTTCAGTTGAGCCCTACAAGAGAGATAAAATTGTATTTTTATAAATTTAATGTCTACATTTTGGTCAGAGCAGGATAAACTGAAGTACACAGATGAACAAGGGGAACGCGGTAGCGTAGTTGATTCAGGCACTATGTTATAAGTCGGAAGGTCGCAGGTTCATTTCCCCGTGAGTTTATTGGATTTTTCAGTTGACCTAATGCTTTCAGCCCCACTGTGGCCATGGGGTCAGCCTGTAACAGAAATGAGTACGAGGAATCTTCCTGGGAGTAAAGGGCGGCCGAGGCCTGAGGCTGAGAACTTCAGCGCCATCTGTGAGCCTGTTGTCTAGAAAATGTGGGACCCTCAACGTTTCACAACCCTGTGGGCCTCCACGGCCTGTTACAAGGATAGCTTTTACACAGACTAACATAAGTTCAGCGAATGTGGGTTTTGAGTAGAAGGTAAAGCTGCCCCTATGCTTAATTCATTAAGCAACACACAATGAAGGTATAGCTCCTCCATTCTTGACCTGGATACTAGATGCAGGTGAGTGGTCAGCTTCACACGGGGGGAAGGAGCCCCCAGTATCCATTTGACGTGTGGCTGGGTGGGCCCCAGAAGCGGTCTGGACGCTGTGAAGAAGAGAAAAACTTACCTCCACCAGGAATCGAACCCCGGCACTCCAACCTGTAGCCCGTCGCTATACCGACTGAGCTATCCCGACTCTATATAACGCATTACAAGAGATTCACAAAATTTTGTGTCACCCTGTTGTGTAACATCTCTGTTCTCGAATATTTTTGTGGCTCTCCGAGTTCTGATAACTATTGCTGATTAGCTCGGACAGCAGTGAATTTATGTTTACAATAAACGAATGAAGGCCAATCAGAAATGTAGAAACTCTAATATCGTATTTTAGATATTCTTCTATTCATTTTCTTATTTTATAAGGATTGCAGTATCAGCGCCATGTCGATAGAGGTCGTCCCATCCTGGTCCTCTAGGAGTTGTGTAGTAAAATGCAATTGACTGTAATTCTCAAAATATCATCAATAGAGTGTTTAATTTCATGAAAGGTAATGTTGTCCCTGTGCTTAACTAATTATGCACTACGCCATGAAGGCGTATGGGGGAGTGGATATATAGAGCCATGTATTCTTGACCTTGGCACTGGTTGGAGGTGAGTGGTCAGCTTCACATCCCTCCCACTTTACCCGCAGGGAAAGAACCCCCGGTACCCACTGAATAGGAGGTTGGGTGGGCCCCAGAACCAGTCTGGACGACTTGGAGAAGAGAAAATTCTTGACCTTACCGGGAATCGAACTTGACCTCTCAGCCATTCAGTCCGTAGCCAGTCGCTTTACCAACTACGCTAGCCCGGCTTCCTGTAGAATCTCCATAAATGTTATTAATTGATAGAAACCTGAAATATTTCGATATTGAAAATTAAAGACGGAAAAACGTCGATACGCACAAATGTTAAGAAGGGGGGGGGTGCAGGGCACGATGAAATCTTTGCTAAGCTGAGGTGGCGCCATTATGTAAAGGTCGGAAACTATTACGTTGTTCACTGACTGAGATCACCGCTATCAAATTGAGCCATCCGAATAAATGTGTCCTCCATCACTTCACCTGAGGGACAGACAGATGAAGTTTCATACACGTTGTATTGTTTCTGAATTCTAGACAACAGATCTGTCATGTCACTAGTAATAAACCATCATCAGGACCTTCTACGTTTATAATCGAATAATAAAGGAGCCAGGCGTGTGTAATTGTGTGTGACGATAGATCATAAATTGTGTTCAAACTACACTTTTACTGTTTACATTTCAGCAATCACAAACAAGGTTATATATGTGACATTTAACGTGAAGTAGCCTTATTTAACGCACAATTGTATTGTTCCTGCATGCCTTACTATAAAGACTGACCTAAAAGGTAACAGGTAACAGGCCTATAGGGTTGTGAGGCGCCGAGGCTCCCACATTTTCTAGACAATCGGTTCACAGCTGGCGGTGAGGTCAGCCTTACACGCCGGCCGCTGTTTACCCCCCCCCCCCCGGAAGATTCCTGGTACTCATTTCTGTTGGAGGCTGAGTCGACCCGAGGGCCATAGTGCGGCTGGAAGTATTAGATCAATTGAAAAAACCCGCGACCTTCCGGCTACGCTACTGCGAGCCCCTACTTCATTGAACGTAGATGCTGTTTCCGGAACTCGAATCTGACGATGTGTCTGATATGTGTGCAGGTCGTCGAGCAATCTGCTTGCGAAATCCGCGCCCTCGACTCCACAAGGAGAGCGTCTGCAGGCGGGGACGCCGTTCCTCACGGCGACGCAGACCACCGCAGCAGTCGGCTCCATTTCCAGGAGCCCGAGCCACGTGTTCAACAAGCATGACAAGTGAGTATCTCGTGGTTGTTGGTTCAAATTCCGCTTAACAGTCAATCATAAATAATTGTGGCACGTTTCTTGGTCCATTTATGTAACTAGAGCTATTGTATAGCCGTAATGTATTTAGTGATTATGTAGCATCCAATGGGAAGTGAACAGATGTTTTGAAAATGTGGCACAGTTCAGATATTTGGAAACGACAATAACAGGAGGAAATTAAGAGGAGATTGAACTCGGATAATGCTTGCTGCCATTCAGTCCAGAACCTTTTGTCTTCTCGTCTGCTGTCCAAAAACATAAAAATCAGAATATACAAAACTATAATTGTGACAGTGGTTCTCTATGGGGGTGAATCGTGGTCTCTGACATTAAGGGAGGAACACAGACTGAGGGTGTTGAGAATATGTGACCGAAGAGAGATAAAGTGACAGGAGATTGGAGAAAACTGCATATTGAGGAGCTTCATAACTTGGACCCTGCTCCAAGTATAATTAGAAGGATCAAGTCAAGGAAAGTGTGATGGGCGAGGCATGTAGCACGAATAGGGGAGAAGAGGAATGCATGTAGGATATTGGTGGGCAGGGCAGATCGAAATATACCATTAGGAAGACCAAGACATAGGCGGGTGGATAATATTAAAATGGATCCTCTAGAGATAGTATTGGGTGGTATGGACTGGATATACCTGGCTTAGGATGAGAATCATTGGAGGGCTCGTGTGAACACGGTAATGAGATCTCGGGTTCAATAAAATGCTGGGACATTCTTGAGTAACTGCACAACTGGCGGCTTCTGAGCTCCATGAATTTAGTTCGTGTCTAATGCAAAATGACGGGGCCATTATTAAAATGGTTTGAATTGTTTCTCCCTGAAGGAGCAGGGAGGGTCACGGGAAGTCCCAGTCGAAATAGTTGGTATTGCAGTCGGGATTCAAACTGGATCCTCCCTGACACGAAGCAGGAGTTTTAACCATTACATGTAATGGTAACATCGTGTGAAATATTTAAGACGAGGACATTTCTGAAAAAAAAAAAAATTATTTCCAAATTTAAGTATGATTAGCAGCTAACTGCCCGGAGCAGAGTCTTTGTGAGGAGCTGATACGAGTAGTTGCTCGCGCAGTCAAGGAACTGGTCTCTTCTGTCGGTGGGTTTTGTCAAAGTAACGGCCCCCTTTTTTGAGTCAGAAATGCAATTTAGTGAGAGGGACAATGTAACGATTGCAAGGCTGATCAATGGTTCACAAATCATATAGTCTGATGTGAATAAACAAAGGTTTCAGGCCCTGCAACCTATAAAAATAACCCAAAATGACGTTTAATAATTTATGAAAAGATTTGTTTGACTTTAATGTTGTGGCGTGTGGACCCCTTCCTGGCAAAGACCTCGAAAGAATCGAAAGGACAGCCGTTGCTATGTAAAGGCTCGGTAAACACGCCTCTACAACAAAAAAGTTACAGTTGGAGACGGTGTTATGTAACCCGTTGCTTGGCCTCTGCAGCATTTGAACTGCAGCAATGGAAACAGTGTTTTATATGTTGTCCATACCGAGGAGTTATCTTGAAGACAGTTGGGACAATCCATCTTCAGGAACCCCGTGTGGAGGCAGGGTCGAATACCCCCATTGTGACCCTGCGAGTCGTAGGAGGCGAGGGTAATGGAAGTCTCAGATCTGAGACAGTAGAATATGGTCGTGAGTCCCAAGGAACTCGGACCCGAGAAAGACTGCTCTGGCAAGGGCCAGAAGCATATACAAAAGACAGACCCGTCCTCTCGTCAAAAAGGGTGCCCACAAAAAAACAAGACCTTAACTGTCAAACAGTAATAAATATCTGGTCATGAGCCCCAGGAGGGTGCTCGACACCAAGACTTACTGGCTGACTGGCCGTCAGTCGCAGTGTGACTTTGACTTATTCAAAAGTGAGCGATTAAGCGCTAACATCAAGCTGACCCTCCACAAAGCTCTCATTAGATCCATAATGACTTATGCTAGTCCCGCCTGGGAGTTTGCGGCAAACACCCATCTAATGAAATTGCAGCGCCTGCAAAACAAGGTTCTCCGCACCATTGGCAATTTTCCAAGACGCACACCGGTCCGCGATTTGCACATGGCATTCAAAACCCCGTACGTATATGACTACTATATAACAAAATTATGCAGGCAACAAGCAGAAGTGATACAAAATCATGAGAATGAGAATGTTCGCAACATCGGACAAGGCGAAGCCCGCCAGAGGAAGTATAAGAGGCTTAAACTTGGCGGCTGTCAGGCATATGACCGTTCAAGTGACTAGACTGCCGTGGTAGCGAATACTGCTAGAAATAGGGCATAGTCTGCTGTACTGAGCCTAGACTGACAGAGGCCTTATATATATTATTGTAACGTGTTTGGAGTAGGTACTTCCATGGTAACGCAGTAGCAGGAGCTGTTGCGTAGAGAACGCCGAATCTCCCCGGAGATGAACGACCGAAGAATCGTTGCGTAACAACGGACTGTCTGAACAGCGGTAACGGAACCGTGAAGAATGGTGTCTGGTATCCAGTCCCCATAACCCCTATATAAGCAGAGCCAGAGACGATATGTACAGAGTATTGAGAACGAGACAATCTTGGGATAGCCGCCACCAGAAACAGTTGAGATCCAGCCACGGCTAAGGATAGTTGAGACGTCGCATTGGAGTATTGGGCCAGAAGCCAAGTGATATTGCAAGTGGTGATAATTGTAAGGTGTGTAAGTGCGAGTGTCCAATAAAGATTCACTAAATCCGAGACCCACGTGAAGTTATTTGTCGCGTGACATACCCAACACGTGACATTATACATACTAGAAATTAAGACTCAGTTGTGGATAAGTGTACATAGTGACAATGGACTAATACTATCTACTATGCCTGAAAAATGACAGACCCGACCTNAATTTACCACTACGGCCCTTCCGTAAAATAGTATAAGTACAGTTCAAATCAATAGTATTAATAACTTCCGTTGTATGATAGATTTCGTATTGAAACTGCAGAAATTAAATTGTCTTCCAGACAAATCAGCTACACCAAGTTTTGACTGGAACTAATGAATTGAACAAACGTGCGTTGGACAGAGCGANAGACAGACTGACCGACCGTCAGTCGCAATGTGACTTTGACTTTGACAATCTAAATATAAGATTCGATTAGAGTCGAGTGACTGCGAGGAGATGCAGGAGTGATCTGTTGTGTGTACAACAAAATAGATTTCGTATTGAAACTGCAGAAATTAAATTGTCTTCCAGACACATCAGCTACACCAAGTTTTGACTGGAACAAATGAATTGAACAAACGTGCGTTGGACAGAGTGGTTTATACGGACTTCACGGTAGGTAGTGTCCTCACGGCCAACTCCCGTTTGGCGAAAGTGGTTTCGGTGAAGTTTGCCGCTCGGCCGCGGCTATGCGCTGTGCTCTGCGAAGCAACAAACAAACGGTACATCTGGGTGTACACCAAGATGGCTGACGTTCCAGAACCGGGATTCCGGAAACACTGGAGACTGGAGCTCTATCAACGCTGCAATCTGAATGTCATGCCATAATGAACAAGTACCCAGATGCAGCTTCTGTAGTACAACGAGTACAAAGAGTGGTCAGTGACATTGAAACCTTTGCCAGATGCACTCCGGCTAGAGTGGGGGAAAGCTCTCAGTGGACATCTGTTGTAAATAGTGCGCAGGAGAACAGGAAAATTTTGCAAGCTTTTAAATGGGGAGCCGCTTTTCAGCGCTCTCTACGGCATGTACACGGTAACACTGAAAGAACTGCAGACCGTCCTGTAGATGAATACGCAGGTAGGGCAAAATGGAGCAATGAACAAAACCTCATTGTAATCAACGGCCCAGGATGACGACTTCCAGGAGGTAAAGAGACGTAAGAGGCATATCTCTAGGGAGACCTCGGAGACGGCCGAGAAGACCACCAAATCAATCCAAATATCCACAGCTGTCAAGCAGACTCCAAAAGCAGTGCCAGCTCGTAACTTCTTCGCACCCCTCAGAGCTAATGACATGGACACGGAGACAGCTGGAGCAGAGAACAGTCTAAGGGAGCAGGGGGCTCCCAGAAAATCAGGTAGGCCGCCACCAATAATGACGACTTCTACCGCAAACCTAATTCGACTCCAAAGCGACCTAAAAGAACACGCCAAAGGAAAGTACAAATTCCGAAATACACGAAGTAGGTAGAACTCGTATCACAACAAAAGAAATTACGGACTCTTCAGCCATGAAATCCTACCTGGAGAGAAATAATATCCAATATTTCACCTTCTCGCCAAATTCTGAAAAGCCTATCAAGGCAGTAATCCGACACCTTCCCTCAGACAGGCCAGCGGAAGATATTTTCAACAGCCTTGAGGACTTAGGCTTCAGCGTCATCAACGTGAGACAGTTGACCAATCAAGGAGCACCAAATGGACAGACCTACGTGGAAACCCTACCGCTCTTTCTTGTTACCTTAACAAGAAACGCAAAATCTTAAGAGATATTCAAACTGAATAGCCTTAACCATATAATTATTAAGGCAGAATCATACAGAGCTCAAACTGGCCTTACACAATGCTACAATTGCCAAAACTTTGGCCTTAAATATCAACAATAACATGTCTACAGCTGCTGTATTCTTGGATATTGAAAAAGCCTTTGATAAAACATGGCACACTGGTTTGCTATATAAATTATCTGCATTAAAATTTTCGATCAGTCAAATCAAGCTTATTAGCTCTTTCCTATCTCAGACAAAATTCAGAGTTTCAGTCGAAGGTGAAATGTCTACACCAAGGGATATACACGTATAAGCAGGAGTGCCACAAGGTTCTGTTCTCTCCCCCACACTGTACAGTCTATATATAAACGATACGCCCCAAACACCTGGTGTCTTTCTAGGTCTCTTTGCTGACACCTGTGTATACGCGACAGACCGCAAATAGGGTGATGTTCTCAGAAAGCTGCAGCGAGGTCTCAGTGCTATTGAGACGTGGTGTGAG